ATTCAACAATCCAAAGATTACGTGATTTGGGATGCGCATGATTTTCTGCGGTAATTTTTTTATTAAACTTGTCTAAGGTTAACTAATCTTTGCCACACTTTAATAAATCTAAAAGAATTTATCACACATTTCTGAGCTATTGACTACGAGAAAGTTGTGTAATCTTAAACGCCGTGCAAGCTTTTTGCTGCAAAGTGCAAACCAAACATATGCATGCCCGTAGTCCGTTACAACTCCTGCTGCTAGGAGTACGCTGTCATCCAGGGGGAGACGGAGAAAGGACACGCTATTGGAGGGCGAGCCGAGCGAGAAGCCCGAGCAGTAAAGTAGCTCATCGAACTCTAGCTACGTACTGGCCTACTGTGTCGAATGGGGTAAAGGTTAAAGCTGTCGCGTGCATGCAGCTATGGCGGGAAATCTCGATCTCTCTTTCTCATTTTTATTTTTCAAAGAATGGTATTTTTTTATCCGGCCTCTCCATTTAACCGGATATATACGGAATATATATGGCTATTGAAATAGGGAACTTAGTCCCATAAATAACTCAATCTAGAATTTACTCATATAAAAATTTAAACTTAGAATTTTTAGAAACTACTCACGTCACTGTAACCGCTAAGCTAAGTATCTCTCTCTCGGCCGAAGCTAGACGACGAGGAGGCAAAGGCACGCGAGGCAACGCAGCGATGCAAGCGGATCGGTGGAGGAGGCGGTGGAAACGAAATCCACGCAGTTCAAGCGCGGGCCGGGGGGAGGACCGCCTGACTGCTGATCGATCGATCGCTGGATCGATTGATCACAAGCGAACAGTGTGGATACTGCAGGGCCAGCGATTCTTCAGGGGAGCGGCCAATGGGAATCAGGTCCTAGTGGATATAGATCTCTGTAAAAGTCTCTGTTACTATTTTATTTACAAAGTGCCATTTGCATGGATGCGTGTATGCAAGGGCAACAACTTGTCCTGATGGTTTCGTTTAAATATTTTATTTCTTTTTTCTTTGATGGTATATATAAAAACCGTCCTTATGAAAATCAATATATCGCAGGGGATTCCCTTATATATTGTTTCATGGTAAAAGAAAAGAGATATTTTGTTCGGAACACATTATAAATGCTGACGCTTATATACATGTGTGTACGCTTATCATTTAAAGATACATATGCACATCTTACCCCCCGTAAGAGCAAGGATAATAGTGAGCTATAAGCAAGCTAAATGCTTATGTGGAAGAGAGAGAAAGAAAAATGGGGAGTGTTGGCTCTCATGCAAGAGTGCTCCACACAAACTCCAAGAAATAAGCATTAAATTCATAGAGAGATAAAGAGAGAGGATGAAAAAAATAAAGCTAACCTTATAGCTAACCTATTATACATGTTAGCTTTAACATTGGCTTATAACATTGGCTTATAGTAAGTAGTGGGCTGTACTACTAAACTTGCTCTAAACACCTCTGCCATCAACGAAAATTGCTGTACCCCTCTGTAGTTTCATGGTAAAAAAAATTTGAGATTTCTTTTCAGAACATATAACAAACATTGGCACTCGTATACATGCATGTGCACTTAATTATAAAGGTAGACGCACATCTTATCTCTATGAGCACCTCCGAGCTGTTGATAGAAACGTCACCTACCCCTCAAAGAAACTTAGTGCTTAATGCGAATAACCATGCAAGGCTGTGTTCGGTTGTGGTGGTTGGGAATATTTTCCCTCTTTAAGGAAAACGAGATAGCTTATTAGCACGTATTTAATTAAGTATTTTCTACTTTTTTAAAATAGATTAATATATTTTTTTACAGTAACTTTACTGTACAAAATTAAGTTCTTTTAGAAAAACATTGTTTCGTAGTTTGGAAAATGTGCTCACGAGAATTTAGAAAGTAGAGGTTGGAAAACTTGAGTTGAGAACCACAAACGAGGCTTAACGATCTGTGTATGCACATGCTTATTGGACACTAAGAACATTAACAAGAGTACACGCATACCAAATACAATTTTAATCTGAACATCGCATTGATGAAACAAAATTAACAATTCGATTTCCTTTTTTCTTTTTGAGAGAGGGTTTGATACACATTGGTAGGCTAGAGATTTGAAGTCATACACCTTACTGCAAGACTAATATGCAATTCCACTTAATACATACGATGCGTACCTTATAGCATCTCTAACAGAGTGATCAAATGACTCTTCGAACTAAATTAAAACTAACATAAAAAATTACCCTTCAACAAACTCTCTAACTAACTGGCCAAGCCTTCCGGCTAGCCAAACACGTCCAGTAACAGGCCAAATTTGACAAACCACATCTGTTGGTCAATTGTGGGCCACACACGTCTCTCTCCCCTCTTCCTTCGGTCTCGCCTCACGCACCGGCCGTTGATGTTGCCTCTGTCCCCGGCCACATCCGGCTTGGTTGCCTTCGCCCCCGGTGATCCGATGCTGCCTCCCGCAGCCTCCTAGCGTCGGCGTCACTCCTCTCTGCCTCCCTGCGGCAAGGCCTATGTCCATCTAGTTGCACCGCCTCCGCCTCCACCCTCGGCCAACCGGCGCTGCCGTCTCCATCCCTACCATCCAGTGTTGCCTCCCCCCCCCCCCGGCATATGTAGTGCCGTTGCGAGGGGGTGGGGAAAGAAAAGAGAGGAGAGGGAGAGAATAAGAGTTTCGAGACAGTGGCAATGAAGAGTACGGAATAAAGAATTTGTTGGAGTGTGTAGCAGTATGGAGAGAAATCTTTTGGTGCGTTGGCCAAATGGATGAATGGAGAGACAAAAATAGTCATGCTATTGGAGATGCTATTAACATTCCCAAATATAGGCATAGTTTGAACGTGTGGTACGGCTGGAGCTGTTCGTGACTCAGAAAAATGGAACGTATCATTAACACATAATTAATTATGTATTAAATATTATAAATGTGAAATAGATTTATTTGATTTTTTAAAAAAACATTTCTATATAGAATTTTGTTCACAGAACGTACTATTTAGCAGTTTAAGAAGTATGCTAACGGAAAACAAGAAAAATACCATTTTTAGTTTCTGAAAAGAACTAAGCCTTAATCCGTAGGCACCTACTGGCTTGCAGAGAGCTTGCCTTCAAGCTAAGTTCGGTTATCTAGCAATTTGATTTCTAATAACTCAATTTCACATCAATAAATAAATATTGAACCTATCTATCTACTTATTATAAATATCTTGAAAATAAAACATCACCTCCGCCCTAAAGGCAACAAATTATCATATTAATCGAAGAAAGAATATATTAGCCATATGTTCGATCGACCGTGATAGATCTATAGAAATTATGATTTGAGAATATATTAGCCATATGTTCGATCGACTGTGATAGATCTATAGAAATTATGATTTGTAGATTGTTATAACTTCCTAACGTTGAATCTGAGCTAAAAATATGTAAATATTAATTATGAACATTAGATCTATTAGAACTAGTTATGAAATTGTACTTCTTTAATGTATAATTTCATAACTATTAATTCTAGCCTTCGATTTAACTCTGATATGAATAATAGTAACTCTGGACTTAATTTTATTAATATTACATATATTCTTTTAAAAAATGTTTGCACGTAAAAAATTAAGAAACATAACTGATCTAAAATAATGGTGCACATAAATATGTATTTGAGATAAACGATAACAAAAATTGCACTTGCGTGGCAGAGATCAGCTAGCTCCAAAATTGTTTTACAGCATTCTCTGCTTGCAATTCAGTCAAACAATAAAAATCATCATCTGACTTTTGAAAAAGACTACCTTTTCTTATCTCAAATCTAAACATACATATAATTATCATCACTAAAAAAAGTAAAGAAAGCGCCCAAAAAAAGAGTAGAAAAGCAAAACACGCGTAGATGCTAGCTATTCCGGCACTCCCTTTGCTGTGACTACCTTTGCAAAGTTCTTAATGCTTGTATGAACCAAACCGAGAAATAGTTTTTCTTTTTTCTTTGGGTGCGGAGACAAACCGAGGAATAGTTGGCCAAACATATTCTCTTTTCATATAATGCAATTTCCTGAGGCATCTTTTTAGATGGCGAGAATTTTACTTATTTCCACGAAATCTGAATTGATTTTGACGAAAACTCTACATTTTTTTAACAAAAAATACGATGTTTTATATTGATATAGCAGGAAAAAATACACGAATATAATCATAGGAGGCTATAACCAGGGAAAAAATAGAAAAACACACAGCCACATGTAAAAACTCCTAAACACAAAATCAAGGGAAAAGCATTAGACCGATCGCTGCTATGCGTGACCGGCCACTGCTTGATCAACGAAAACTTAGATCTAGGGGTGAAAATTTTTACCGTGTCACATCGGATATACGGACATACATTTGAAGTATTAAACGTAGTCTAATAACAAAACAAATTACAGATTCCGCTTGTAAACTGCAAGACGAATTTATTAAGCCTAATTAATTCATCATTAGCAAATGTTTACTGTAGCACTACATTGTCAAATCATGGAGCAATTAGGCTTAAAAGATTCGTCTCACAATTTACACGCAATCTATGTAAATTAGTTTTTTTTCTGTATTTAATACTTCATACATGTATCCAAACATTCGATATACATGCTGAAAAAACTTGCCAGAGAATGTAAGCAGGCCCTAAGTTCCAAATAGTCTTGAATCTTTTCAAGCAGGTTAGCTGATGCTGAGGTCCTGAGGAGGCCGGAAGTGAGCTCAGTTTGATCATATGGTCATTAAAGTTTTCATTATCTTAAGAAAAAAAAGGTGGTGTTGAGGTGGAGAAGAATATATGAAAAAGGAAAGGGATAAAAGTGCATGCAACTAATGCTCAGACTCCATAAAAAAATACATTTAAAAGCTCTATTAAAAGTGAGTAGTATTACTCCTCCACCAGCAAAGTACAGACAAGAAAAGAAAAGAAAAAGAGAGCCAAAGTGCCATGAAAAAAAGAGCAATTTTTTTTTCTAGTCAGCGTCACCCTCCTCCCTTCCCGCTTCAGTTGGCAGCTGCCCTGTTTCTGCTTCATGTCCTGCCCAAAATGCCCTCCTCCTACCCTCCACGCGGCTGTGTATACAAAGAGAACGCATCCCCCCATTGCTCACTTGCCCCCTCCTCCTCTTTCACACCTCACCTCCCACCAAGATAAAGAGCAAGAACAGCAAGAGCAAGAAGAGGAGGAGGGAGACCACACAATCTATCACAAGCTTAGCAAGATTTATCAGCAAGGAAATGGCAGCTCTGACGAGCTACGAGATGGCGGCCTCCATCTTGCTCTGCGCCGAGGACAGCAGCAGCGTCCTCGGCTTCGGCGGCGAGGAAGAGGAAGAGGAGGAGGACGTCGTGGCTGGGAAGAGGGCCAGGTGCGCTGGTCCGCCGCCGCCGCCGTGCGTGGACGTCGCTGGCGTGGATTTCGCCGTGCCGTCGGAGGAATGCGTCGCCCGCCTGGTGGAGACGGAGGCGGACCACATGCCGAGGGAGGACTACGCCGAGAGGCTGCGCGCCGGCGGCGGCGACGGCGACCTGGATCTTCGCGTCAGGATGGATGCCATCGATTGGATTTGGAAGGTGGGGGTGTTCTTCATCGATGCGAGCCATATATAAATCTCTCTGATTTGGCATTGTTCGCGTCGATCCAGTGATTGATCCGTCTGTTCATCTCGATCTCGACAGGTTCACTCCTACTACAGCTTCGCTCCTCTTACTGCCTGCTTGGCCGTCAACTACTTGGACCGCTTCCTCTCACTCTACCAGCTTCCGGTAAGAAACCTTATAGCTGTAGTAGTACTAGTACTCGCTCCATACTCGTAAAGAAAGTCGTTTAGGGCAGCGGTACGGTCTCCAAAACATAACTTTAACTTCTTGTTTCTATAAAAATATTTATTGAAAAGTGATATATGTATACTTTTATGAAAGTAATTTTCAAAACAAATCTATTCATATAATTTTTATATTTTCAAACTCAATAACTTGAGAGTTTTTTATGGTTTATATTCCCAAGGTTTGACTTAAATATTGTTCTAAATGACTTCCTTTATGAGTACGGAGGGATTAATTAACTACTGCTCGGTTCTCGAAGAAAATGGTAAATCTGGGACGTTTCAGCTGTTCAGGATCAGTAATTCTGTGCACTTGTCTGCAGGATGGCAAGGATTGGATGACGCAGCTGCTAGCAGTAGCGTGCTTGTCGCTTGCTGCCAAGATGGAGGAAACCGATGTGCCTCAATCGCTGGACCTGCAGGTGAGACTTAAATTGTGAATTGAAACGCATAGGTTTTGCATTGAACGATGCAGATTTGCGTTGCACCCTGCGTCCGTTTTACTGTGGGATGATCACGTTCTGATCGTTTCCGGGTCGCGCGTGTTACCGTCTGCCAGGTCGGGGAAGAACGGTACGTGTTCGAGGCGAAGACGATCCAGAGGATGGAGCTGCTGGTCCTGAGCACCCTCAAATGGAGGATGCAGGCCGTCACTCCCTTCTCCTACGTCGACTACTTCCTCCGCGAGCTCAACGGCGGCGATCCGCCGTCGGGACGCTCGGCGCTGCTGTCTTCAGAGCTCATCTTGTGCATAGCTAGAGGTACGGCCAGTGTGCATGCAAGAAAATTCTGGCACATCTCCATGCATCACAGAAGCTTCTGAAAAAAAATCTAACATGAATGTATATGTTCACGCAATGCAGGAACAGAATGCTTGGGATTCAGGCCGTCGGAGATCGCCGCCGCGGTCGCCGCCGCCGTGGTCGGAGAAGAACACGCCGCTTTCTCCCATGTAAATAAGGTGCGTGTGCAGGGCAAGATGACCAGTCATGAATGCAACGTTCCTTCCAAAATTCAATGCGAAACGTTACGCGCACAGAAGCCATAGGCTCAAACTGTAGCCATACTACCCTTAACGCTACAGAAATCCGTGAAACGCATTTACAGCCGCGAGAGAGAGAAAGCTGCACGTAAACTGGTTATTAATGCTCTCTGTCGCCGTGGTTTTTTCTTTGCAGGAGAGGATGTCGCATTGCCAGGAAGTGATTCAGGCCATGGAGTTGATACATCCAAAACCTTCAAGCCCCAGCAGAGTCTTCGTCTCCTCCTCCATTCCACGGAGCCCTACTGGCGTGTTGGATGCAGCAGGCTGCCTCAGCTACAGGAGTGACGATTCAGCTGTTGCCTCACACTACGCAGCAAGCAGCTGGGGATATGAACATGATAGCTCCCCGGTTAGCAGCAAGAGGAGGAAGATTAGCAGATGATGCAGCCAATGATGGATCAATTAAAAGTCTGTTTATATGTGTTGCGAAACTGATCGTGCATCTCTCTTTCTTGGGAAAGTCAAATGGTTTTGATTGCAAATGACTGTGGAGCCTTTCGATGCCGTATGGGAGCTAGAGCCTGAAAGGCGATGAAGGACCAAAAGCAAGGCATTTTCGACATGGCAACAGAGCAAAGATACTGATGGATAAAGAGAGTCTGAGGTAGACATGTGCTCCAATATTTTCATGTGCTTTAGCGTTAGTTGCTAGGAGGCAGGCAGCCACAAAAGAGTAGAGGATTTGTGGGAAGAGAGCCGGGCGAGATGAAAATGAGATGACCAAAATAAAGGCAGAGACGAGGTGACAGTGGCACAAGGCAAAGCGAGCTAGGCACTGACACTCCAGATGTCCTGCGTGTGTTTCAGTTTTGCGTTGTTCTGTAATTTCCCCTGCTTAATTCCTTTGTGAAGAAAAATCATAAAAAAGGAGAGAAACAAACAATTTTGGTGTCAAACTCCAATAATTCAGCATAACTAAACTACAAGAAGAAGCTGAAGCAAAAAAAAAAAAAGAAGATAAAAGTAAAAGACATAGACAAAACCCATAAGAGCTGGAGGAGGGTTTCTTCTGATCATTTCTGAGGTGTTATGAACAATCAACATCACATATTCACATATGATCAGTTCCCTTTTGCTTTGTGCTAGTGCTTACGACTATCTTGCTGCCACCCTACATTGTTTGACCAGTTGTCTGCATGGACCATGGAATTCGCCTCTTTGCCCTTGAAAGGAGAAGGGACATTGTCTGGAGAAACCTCGGGAACACAAACATAAAAATAGTGCTCCTACTAGTGCCATACAGGAGAGTTGAGAATATGGCTAAAGAAATTAGGTTGGTCCTTTCTCTGGAGTTAAAGCTTCTCTGCTCCCAAACTATAAAACTGCTAGCAAGATTATTCCTTCCTGAGTTGGATTTCTTTTTCAGGTGACCCATTTTGCGTTGTTTAGGTTGCTTGTTCGCCATATGTTCCAAGTAAGGACACTTAACTACTAATAATGCAATGCTTCCAGACAAGCATGGCTGTAGGCAACAATAAAGATACTGTTCAGTGCCCTTTTCAAGCGGGAAAGATCCGCCACTTTGACATAGGAGTATTATTGTTCAATTTTGGGAGATCATAGGGTTTGGTTTGGTTTGAGGCCTATATTGGCCTTACCAATATTTGACAATTTCAATAGTGTTTATTGTCTATTTGGTTTGGAGCCAAATTTTGGCATGCCTAAGAAAATAGGCCATTTCAACAGTTAATTTAGGCTATTTTGGCTTCAATCCAAACACAATTTTACTTTTGCCAAAATTAGCCATGTCAAAAGTTGCCAAAATTTGACATTGACAAAAATTGGTAAGGCCAATTTAGGCCACAAACCAAACCAACCCATAGAGTCTGTTTGTGTATATATCACTCTTGTGCTTAACAAATATCAAATGCCCACTTGTCATTTCTATTCTAAATTTTAGGGCGCAATTTAACTTAACGCAGTCTTTTAGATTTGCTACTACCACAAATTTTCCATGCATTTCATCATACAACCTCATCCCAACGAGCATCTCCAACAGCCTCTCCAAACACCCATTTAGCAATCTTGCCAAAAATTTGGGGAGTCAAATTTGCCTTTTACTCCAATAGCATGCATCTCTATTATCTTCTCCAATCTGGTAGTGGGTCCCACATGTTAATTTCTACCTTCTTCCCCTCTCTTCCTCTACAGTCACACCTTTCCCCTTCCCCACCTCCACCCACCCGGCGCCGGTGGCCCTCTTCCCAACCGGCGGATGAGGAGGCGGCGGCTTGAGGCGAGGGGGCGGGTGGATGGGGAGCCGGCGGCGGTGCCACCGTTTCACGCGACGATGGCCAGCGCCAGACGACGACGACAGGCGCATGAGGCGACGACGGGATCTAATTCTCGCTGGCCTCCCTCGCCGCCATGCCCTCCATCCCGACCGTCGTGCCCTCCCTTCCTCGCTGTCGATGGCGCAAACCGACTCTCCCCCGGCGAGGAGGTGATTCATCGCCATCGTCAACGAGAACCCGCCGCACGTAAACTGGTCCACCTGCTCGAAGTCAGCGGCCGCAAGGGGCACAGCGGCGTCGGCCATGACGAGCTCTGCCCCGGTGTTGTTTGAGAGCCGTCGAGCCGCCCCGTCGTCCTCGTTGTCGAGCTGCGCCGATGGCCGACGCCGAAGAAGGAAGGCGATGGCGGCCTGCAGGGGCGACGACGGCTGGCAGGGAAGGCGACGGCCGGTAGGGTCGGCGGCGCCTGCATTGACACTGGGCCGGCGGGCACTAACGAACGGCGACAACGGATACGAGAGAGAAGAAGCAGAGAGAGAAGCAGCAGGTGGCAAAAGCACGTGGGGCCCACCATTAGCCAGTGACTTCGACTGGTCAAATCTGGCTAGGGGAGGGAGTGTTTTGGCCGCCATCCCGCTAGAGAAGCTGTTGGAGAAGTTTTTTTTTTTTTTTTTTTTGCTAGAGTGACTAAAATTTGGCTTGGAGAAGCAATTGAAGAGGCTATTGGATATGCTATAAGGATACAAAGTGCTGATACTGCCTAATTGGTTATATTTTTTTGTTTTTTTGCCTGCGGCTTATTAGCCGAAGATACAAGACCGAAACAACGAAAAATAATTAATGCTAAAACATACATGCACATAAAACTAGCATGCAGAGGACCAGCAACTTTCATTTATTTTTTCTTCTATCGTTATTTTCTACTAAACATGGAGATGAAATCAGGACACGCAAAAATAAGAAAATAATTAGTGCATGATTAAATAAATTTTAATTATTAAAAACATGAAATTTAATTTATTTGATATTTTAAAGAAATTTCTATATAGAAATTTTTTTGCATTAAACACACCAGATAAAAAACGTGCTAATAGAAATCGAGGTAAAATCTAGTAGTATATCTTAATAAGAAAACAACACCACCTTTTTTTTTTTTGCAAAGCCACACTGCCTAGGACAAACAAAATGCCTCACCAAGCAAAGTGAGTTACTAACTTCCTTATATAATAATTACATTTTTACCATTCAAATTTTATCAAAAAAAAATTATATTTCTGATAAGATAGGACCGAACAAATGTAATGTGTATCCCAACCTTCCTTTTAATTAAGTTTACTTATGTGATGTATGTCTCAACCTTCCTTTTAGTCAAGTATGCATATGGAATATGCGCATGCAGTATAGTTATTAAATACGGTTATTGTGGTAAATTGTGTTTGCCGTTAATCTATCTCTAATTCCCTAGAAATGCAATTATTATGAGACAAAGGTAATATATGGCAATCAGAAAAGAGATGCAAACACTACAGGCCTATTTAGGATGTAGGATTTTCAAAGGAAAATTACAAGGATTTGAAAACCATAGTATTTAATTTCCTACCCAAAGAGGTGTTTGTAATGAAGAATGAACCCAAGTATTCCCTTGGAATCGTTTCCTGAGTTTCAGCATTCAAATATTATTCTATTACAAGCAAAGGAATGAAAAAAATGAGGTGAAAGTAAAGTGACCGTAGCTCAACTGGTTAGCTAGGTTCCTTGTGGTGGAACCAACCCACCCAAGTTCAAATACTAGATTTGACATGGGTGCTCGCATTTACAGCTAATTACTCTTTCAGTGGTAGGCAACGTAACCGTCGATAGCGAGGCGCCTGTGGTGACTTCGTCAATCTCAAGACATGCCGGCCCAGTCTTCTGGAGAAGCTCATAGGGGTAGCTAGAGGCGCCTGCGGTGACTTCGTCAATCTCAAGACATGCCGGCCCAGTCTTCCAGAGGAGCTTATAGGGGTAGAGTGTGAGCGCCTGCGTTTGTACTGTGTTTCTAAAAAAAATGGGTGAAAGCCAATGAAAATTTTCCCTAGGAAGGGAGGGAGTAAATGACAAGAGGCAACACAATTAGAGCAGGTACAATAACAGACTATTAGCCAGCTATAAACATATTTTAATGAGATAAAAAATGAGAGAGAAGAGCAGCGGGCTACAGATCTGTAGCCAACTGCAGCGCGGACTCCAAGACGCAATGTGTGTATGACATGTGGGACCATATATTAATAGTATATTAATTAACTATTGTATGAATTGGCTATTAGTTTGGTGAATTGGAGCTAGTAGTGGGCTATACTATTAAACTTGCTCTTAGGTGACCTTGAGAACATTATGAATTTAGGCTCAGTTTTGGCAGCCCAGGTTTCCAACGCAAACAGTCGACATGGAAAACGGAGCGGTCCATTAACGCATGATTAATTAAGTATTAGCTAATTTATTTTCAAAAATGGATTAATTTGATTTTTTTAAGCAACTTTCGTATAGAAATTTTTTGTAAAAAATGCATCGTTTAGCAGTTTAAAAAGCGTGCGCGCGGAAAACGAGGGAGAGGGGATGGGAAAATGGGGTACCGAACATTAGTAACAAAAGCAAGAGTGCTATCTTCTAATATTGATCTTGCATTCCAAACACCCGTCTATATAATTGTTCATATGTTTTTTTTCCAATCTTGCACTATATATTTTCTTTTCCTACGTTTTTATTGTTGTGTTTTGTTCCTTTGATCCAAACATCTGCCACCTCTCTAGCTATCTCTATCCGGTCATGTGTTGTCTTTTGTCAGAACAAACCCTCTACAAAATATACAGATAAAAAAATGTTACCTTGAGTGAAATTGTCAATTAATTTCCAGATGGACTTATTGCTGAAATGCAGTTGTGAATTTATTGACGCAGCATTCAATATCGAGTGCATCATGAACTGCCCAGAAGAATTACGAGACCAACAAAAAGGGTCCCAAGCTGGATACATTTCTACATGAGAAAGACTACAACCAATTAGACCATGCATTCCAAACTAGTAGTAGAAGGTATGGACCAAATGTCCCTTCTGAAAGAGTCAAAGAGATACTATGAGTTTTGGAGCTGGTAACTTGTTCTTAAATGTCATACAGTATATTGTAACACTATTAGATGGAGGGAGCAACTTACTACAAAATCATGGACATGCAAATCTACTTTTTTTTGAGTGGGACATGCAAATATACTGAAACATAAATCTAGTGAATTATGTTTTGACAATGCAAATATATGGCCATATGCAGTAAACATATACATTGTCAATCTGATAGTCAAAACTTACGAATTAAGTTCCAATCCTGAAATACATATGGCCCTAAAAATTTGGATGGAGAGAGATCACGTGAAAAAGAATCTGAACTGTAAACATAATGGACTGTACCATAGTATGATCCAGACTCGCGTGCTCATGGCAAAACAGTGAACTTGCACTAATTTGGATCTCAGTTTTGGCGCGCGTGCGAGACCAATCTTAGCAAGGATTCTGCAAGATCCACTTCATTGAGGCCATCACATGCACGTATTTATGGCCTTCGTCGGCATTGTATAACGAGGTTTTGATCGATCTCCAGTTCACACATCAGTACCTAACCCCTCTTGGTCAAGCCTTGGATGAATACATTAACTTTTAGTCTATCAGACCGATAAGTTTTTCTATCTCTGGCTTTCTAACAAATTGAGTAGCGTTTGAATAATCTTCTCTGCTAAGTATTTTTCAAAGACATTGCCACACAGTGACAAGATCAAGCAATTTTATTTTTCTGAAGTGTAATCGGTTAATTATCCCAGCTACGTCGAAGAGATACCGTTTCAGAACAGTAGTACCACACACCTTCCATCCGTGGATGCAAGTACGCCCCACGAGACATCAAAGAACTTATTCTTCTCATATGGCTCTCACGCGTCTCGAGATTCGCGTCAAACCGCGACAGTTCAATCCACTTTGGCTGTAAAATTCGTCAGAAAAAGGCTCACGACCACCTGCTCGGATCAACAACCGAACAACGCACAGGGGATAAATGCATCTATACACTGCGCGCAGAAGCAGAACAGAACAGAACGCCGAAAAAGCAGATGCGAATGCGACGCCCAGTTGCCGGCCGGCCGATCGATCGATCGATGCATCGACGGATCAATTCACTTTTTTCTTGCCCCGGCCACTGCCAGGGGAATAAACGCACGTCGCGCCATGCCGTGCCAGC